GGTTTCTCCCATTTGTAATGGAAATGTCTAGCTTGTGTCTGTTCTGCCACTGTACATTTGGAAGCAGATAACTTGTATTCTAGATTTCACAGATGAAGAGGAATTTTTGGATTTTGAACTTGGAGTTAAGACTTTTGTTATGATATGATGGGGTAAATATGTTTTCCATGTTGCAAGGATGTGATTTTGGGGGGGCCAAAGGGTGGAATGTCATGGATTGAATCATGTCCCCCCAAAAATGTATCAAGTTGGCTGGGCCATGATTCCCAGTATTGTGTGATTTTCCCATGTGTGGTAAATCCTGCCTCTATGATGTTAATATGAGGGAGGATGGGCGGTAGTTGTGTTAGTGAGGCAGGACTCAATTTACAAGATTGGATTGTGTCCTGAGGCAATCTCTTGAGATATAAAAGACAGAAGGGAGCAGTGAGACAGGGGGACCTCATACCATCAAGAAAGCAGTGCCAGGAGCAGAGCGCGTCCTTTGGACCAGGGTCCCTGCGCAGACAAGCTCCTAGTCCGGAGGAACACTGAAGAGAAGAAGGCCAACAGAGAGAAAAACCTTCCCCCAGAGCTGACGCCCTGAATTTGGACTTTTACGTGCTTTGACTATGAGGAAATAAACTTCTCTTTGTTAAAACCATCCACTTGTGGTATTTCTGTTATAGCAGCACTAGATGACTAAGACAGGTCCTAAAAGACCACTCTAATATACAGGACTGTTCACACGCTCAGGAAGACCCAAGAAATTCATAATCTCTCATCTCTGCTGAACTTGAAACCCTGAGCAAGCAGGAAGTGAAGACTAAGGCACAGTTGTAAACTGCTTGAATGTTGAAAGCATTCCCAATACACACACACAGAGCCCCTCTGCAAAGGGTGGGAGACTTACTGCTTCACGGAATACTGGTTTACGGAAATCTCTGTCCAATGATTAGCTAACCACTAAGATAACCAGTAGGAACACTGGTCGCACAGTGGTTAAGAGCGTGGCTGCTAATCAAAAGGTCAGCAGTTCGAATCCACCATCTGCTCCTGGAACACACCGTGGGGCAGTTCTACTCTGTCCTATAGGGTCACTATGAGTCAGAGTCAACTCAACAGCAACTCACAAAATAGAGAATACCAATAAGGAGAGAGAAATTTTTTTTTTAAAAAAAAGAACCAAATAGAAATTCTAGAGTTAGAAAGTAAAATCATTCAAAAATCATCATGAAAAGTCACTAGAGGAACTCAAGAGCAGATGTGAGTTGGCAGAAGAAAGAATTTGTGAACCTGAAGATAAGTTAAATGAGATTATCCAGCATGAGGAACAGGGAGAAAAAAATAATGAAAAACTTGAGCAGAACCCCAGGTTGCTGTGGAACACCATTATGAATAACAACATATGCAAAACAGAAACCTCAGATGAAGAGAGGAGAAAAAGAAAGAATATCTGAAGAAATAATGGCTGAAAAAGTCTCAAATTTTTTAATAATCTGGTTTACATCTTATAAAGAAGTGGAATGAGACTCTCTATTCCAGAGGGATAGTTTAAGTGGTGTATTAATTCAGTTATTTAGACTCTTTAAGACTTAAAATTATATCAAATCAGAACATTGAAACATTTATTGTGTATAGTCTGTGTGTATGTTAACTAAGAATGCTAACTAGTGTGTGTCAACATTAAATAGAAATATAATAAAAACACATAATACCTTAAAAAAAAAAAATAGGAAAAGAAAAAAATCTATCCAGATCATTTACGAGACTAGTGTAATTTTGAGTCTAAAACTGGATAAAAACAATACCAGAAAATAACAATAGAGGCTCATTTCACCTTTGAATATAGACACAAAAAATCCTAAATTAAATATTAGCTACTCAAACTTAATAGTGCATTAAAAAAATATATCTTGATCAAGTAGTGTTTATTCAGGAAGCAAAGACAATTCAATATCAGAAAGTCTACTGATACCTATCATATTAATAAACTAAAGGAAAATCACAGTTATCTTCATTGTACAGAAAAAAATATTTAATAGTGTTCAATATTTTATTATAAAACTCTAGGATCAAACAAAAATATTTTATTAGTTAAGTTTTTATACTAAAAATCTTCAGTAAACATTATACTTAATGGTAACATTTAGATGTACTCTCTTTAAGACTGAAAACAAAACAAGTGTCCACCATCATGGCTACTGTTTACCATAGTACTGGAAGTCTTGGCCAATGCTATAAAGAAAAGAAAGGGAATTAAGGTGTAAGGATTGAAATGGAAAAAAAGAAATGACCATTATTTGCAGATGATGTGAGCATACACCTAAGAAACTACCAATCAGTAGACAAACTACTAGTACTAATAAAAGAGCTCAACAAAGTTGCTTACTATAAGAACAATCTACAAAAATTAATATTTTTCTACACCAGCAATAACTATAAAATATAACTTTTTAAAAAGACAATTCTTAAAGCAAAAAATATATAAAGCATCTAACAAAACAAATTGATAAATACACCATGAATGATCTGAGTCTTGCCAAACCAAATCAGACACTGAGTCCTCATTCTCCTCACTTTCAGGACAGCGGTGTTTATCACAGAGCCACAGTCCTGGCAATCCTTTTTTACAGCAGGGACAAAAGAATTATTAAGGTACAGAGGAAGCTGGAGCCCTACTTAATAAGTCCTAGCCCAGAATATAGAGCATTGGAAGCTTAGTACCTCTACTATACAAGCTGATTTGGCTTTCCTCACCATCAGGGGCCACAAAGAACAATTTTCAAGACACCTGACAGGTACAGTCCACTCACATCATAATGCAGTGGGATGAGTCCTGGACTATGAGTGAGGAGATCTGTGTTCCAATTCCAGTTCTATCATTCACTAGCTCTGTGATCTCAGGCAAACAACTTAACCTCTCTGCATCTCACACCTTCCACCTATAAATGGATGACAAGTCTCTCCTTACTACCTCACAAGCTATAGGAAAGAAAAAATGAAATAATATAAAGATATTTAGAAAGTTATAAGAGCCATGGTGTCACAGTGGTTAAAGCACTCAGCTGCTAACCAAAAGGTAGATGGTTCAAACCCACCAGCCAAAGATGTGGCAGTCTGCTTCCATAAAGATTACAGCCTCGGAAGCCCTATGGGGCAGTTCTACTCTGTCCTATAAGGTGGCTATGAGTTGGAATTAACTCGACAGCAGTGGATTTATACACTTGTAAGAATAACGTGAACTTAGGAAAGGTCAGAAAGAGATTTAAAAAATGACCAATTGGTTTTAAAGTGGTTTTCTAAAAAAAAAATGAGAAAAATTAGCTTTATAGACTGAAGAAAAATACAGAATTTTTCTCAAGTAAATTAATTTTACAACATAATGACCAAAGTTAGCCTTAACATATTTTTTTTCCTGGTGTATTGTTAATCACTGTACTGATCAACCAACGGACATAGGTTTAGATTACAAAGGACAATGGCACACAAGGATATATCAAGGACTTACAAATAAAAATAAAATGACTAATGCAAATGGGCTTAGTTCATCTACTGCTACATGTTCATATGCTTCCTGGCTTATAAATTTTCTACAATAGATTAACATGAGTAATGCCAGTCCCCCAATATACTGCAAATTCCTGATTTACTGGGGACTGTAATTATTTATAAACATTACTTATAACCAAAATAGAAAGTACTTCAAAAATATCTAAAGCTTTCTTCTCCAGTATTATTAAGAATTGTGCAAGTGAATTTCCTAGTACTTTCTTGAGTTTCTCAAATTTAACTATAGTATGGAAATGAGGGAAAACTCTAGGTGGTATTTCTCATGTAAAACAGTAAAGACACAACTGCATAAGCCCCCTTCAAACATAACACTGGGATGCAGATTCTTTTTTATGTGAAAATTTTACTAATCAATGACTTACACTTTTGAAGACAAACTAATAAAATTTCCTTTAGATATTTAAAATAATGCAATAAAATTTCTTTTTTCTCTTTCAATATGCATTTCTTGTCATTAAAAAAATAGCTCAACTTACATTTTCCATTGTAATACTGTTTGAGGCATTCATCAGATTCACACTTTTGTCAACAGCTACAATTCCAACTATTGAATCAGACTGTGTCACAGAGATCCTAAGAGAGACTTTCTCAGACGGTTCAGCATTAGCTTTACTCCAAAATAGCTTTATCTAAAAAGGGGAGAGAACAGAATTGACTTATTTCACTTTTTTAAAGCATTACATACATGTCTTCCCAAGAGTAGTTAATGATTCAAAATTTAGCAAAGATTCTATCTACATTTGCCTTGGTTTAGGGATAATTCTAAAACCATACATAAATCTTCTTTAGAGAAAGAAATAAGAAAATTTTACTCCCAAAGTGTTTGCAAGTCATGGAGCTTCTCAGAGTGATACAAGTTCTGAATTATCCTTCCCTTTTCTACCTTTACTCCTCCTTTTCTCCACCCTCCACTTCCAACCTCCCAGTCAGTGCTGAACAGAAAACAGCAGTGTCTAGAAGACCTGGGGAAGACCAGTACCCAGGAGGAGGAACAGTATAAGAGGAAAGAAACAACAGATGCCTACACACTGTCAACTTGGACTTCAAAGTGAGTATAAGTGAGACCTCTTTGGGGACTCACAGAGCTACCTGGACTGGGGCACAGGGGAAGGAAGGACCTTTCTGAGGAAGAAGGTAATCAGACCAAACAATAATTAGGCCCTCATGCTCTGTGTCTCCATGGTGGCCTGAACATCATTACCCTCATCACAGCACAATCTGGCTGAGCCTTAAGAGTGCTATTCATCTCATCACCACTGAACCAAACAGCTTTGTCATAAGGACCCTTCCTACTAGCAATTTCCCTTTCATCTAGCTCTATCTCAACATTCTACTCATCAGAGATTGTACTACCTCTCAAGCCACTCTATGTAATTTGCTTTTCTTCACCTACACCCTAAAAGAGGGCTAGAGAAGGGTGAGCAAAACGAAGACTCAGTCTCAGACCTTGCAGTTCTCACTCTATACTCCGCACTCAAAGAGACTTGACTCCATGACTTCAATTATCACTTTTGTGTGGATGATTCTTAAACCTACATCTTTTGCCCCTTCTACAGTTCATTCATTTATTCCACAGCCATTATTGAACATCAACAAAGATTCATTAATTTTCTCTTGCTTAAATATATTCTATTTCCAAATATGTAGGGCTTTTTATAAGTAAATGTGAGAATCATTATCATATAAAAATTAGAGAAAGCTATATCTTTGCAAGCATAACCAAAACTAATTTCCTATCTCTTATATCTAAGAAATTTCTCAGGAGTATACTACTTATATACTCTGCTTTCTCAAAGTCAATGGCCTTTACACTGTTAACTAGCTTCTGACTCTGCTCGCACTTTCAGAGATGTGTGCCTTCATGGGTAAACCTGACTCCTACTTTAAAATTCACCCTTGTTGAATGATTTTTAATAGAATCACTAGGAGTCAAAAATTGTGCTCTGACACTAACAAAATATAGTGTTGTCTAAAAAAAATATTTTCATAAGATGAAAAATAGGAGTTTGTATTATATTTTGACAATCAAAGTTAGGCTTAACAGTTCTCAACAAAAGGAGGCATGGACAATTACTGCCACTTCTCAAATTTTACAAAACTAAGAAAAAAGAAATGGTTCTAGAAGAAATGTATACATGGGGTTGCCGTGAGTCAGAATCAACTAGATGGCAACTAATAACAACTCTGCAAATCACTGCTTTAAAATTGTGATTATTTTGCTTAAAAAAAAACCAAAGTCATTGCCGTCAAGTCAATTCTGACTCATAGTGACCCTATGATTTTGCTTAAGAGAACTGGAAAAGACAGTAGTTTTTAATGAGAACTATTGGTGGCACAATGGTTAAAGCGCTCAGCTGCTAACCGAAAGCTCAGCAGTTTGAATCCCCCAGCGGCTCCATGGGAGAAAGATGTGGCAGTTGGCTTCTGTAAAGATTTACAACCTTGGAAACGCTACGGGGCAGGTCTACTCTGTCCTATAGGGTCTCTATGAGTCATAATCAATGGGTTTGGGTTTGGGTATGGCTCATTTTAACGTGCATGAAATGATTCGATCCCATCTGGCATCCTGCAATCACATTTCTCTTCAGAGTGGGGACTCAAGGGGGTTTCATACACAAACAGGGCACACTAGGCTATAACCACTGGTGCATTTGGAGACCAGACTCCACAGATCCTTACACACAAAGTAACCAAGCTTGCTGAAAATTTGTCCTCAGTTACTTTCCAGGCTGATGAAATGGGTATGCCAAAGCCTAGTTCTGCTACAATTATTTATCTCAGATGGTCTCATTCCCTCTCATATTCTTCACTTCATTTGCACACCAATATCAATGCCATACACATTTTATATTGTCCAAACAAAAATTGTATATTGTCACTAGAATTCCATGCCAGAGCAATACTGACTCAACCATTTGAGAAATCCTGAAATGGCTTTGAATTAAATCCTGAATGGATTTGCATTAAAGTCTTACAGCCAAGAACCATATCTTACAAAAAAGATCCAGAGTGCCTGTCTTAGTTATCTAGTGCTTCTATAACAGAAATACCACAGGTGGATGGCTTTAACAAAGAGAAATTTATTCTCTCACAGTTTATCTGGCTAGAAGTCCAAATTCACGACACCAGTTCCGGGGAAGGCTTTCTCTGTCAGTTCTGGGGGAAGATCCTTGTCATCAATCTTCCCCTGGTCTAGGAGCTTCTCAGCACAGAAACCCCAGATCCAAAGGATGTGCTCTGCTCCTGGCTTTTTTTTTTTTTTTTTTGGTCCTCCTGTTTCTCTGCTCACTTTTCTCTTCTATATCTCAAAAGAGATTGACTCAAAATACAACCTAATCTTATAGATTGAGTCCCGCCTCATTAACATAACTGCCTCTAATCCTGCCTCACTGATATCATAGAGGTAGGATTTACAACATATAGGAAAATCACATCAGATGACAAAATGGTGGACAGTCACACAATACTGGGAATCATGGCCCAGCCCAGTTGACACACATTTTCTGGGGATACAATTCGATCTATAACAGTGCCCAATACTTCCACATAGGAAAATACATTCCTAATAACTAAATATGAAGAAGTTTCACCATACTTCTAGAAACAAATAATATACATTTCTAACCAATTTGGTTTAAAGATACTTTTCTAAAGAAATGTTACATTTCTCAGACTTTACTAATGAAGTTTTCTTTTCAATATTCTTATCTTAAATCTTACCTTATTTTTAAAAACAAGCTGCACAGGAATTTTTAGAACATCATTTATAATTTCCCCATCATCTTCAATATAATACACAATGATACACGCTCTTGGAGCCCAAGAATTTTCTGGCGTTAAAGAGAAGGTTGCTGAATTTTTTTTACCTACAGCCACCAACTGTCCTCTGGATACTACCTGAAAAGAACAGTAGACAAGTTTAACTTTATGCTAAAGCTAGTGAGAATCTCAACTGTAGTTATATTTATCATAATTTTAAGCACACACATGCATTCTTGACTTAAACCAACTTTAAAACCCTTCTGAATGCAAGAAAGTCTCCCTGACAAACACAGCAAGTATATGCTGAGAAACAGAAAATGATAAGATTAAGGCAACACTGGTTGGGGCAACACTAGCTTCACAGCCAAGTATCTATTTCTGATTGGAAAGAATACAGGGCAACCACAGGAAAAGCAAGATTAGCAAAATTACAAGGCATTTTATAGTGACCTTTTATTTTCATTTTCGTGGTTTTACATTTTATAATTTTTCTAAAATGATAAATATCATTTAATCATACTTTAAATTTTTAAACATAATGCAAGATTTGATTATTCATTATAAATTGGAAATGCAAATACAGGCGAAAAGGAAGAGAAAAAGATATTTTTGTTGCAATATAAAGAGGACAGACTATAAAAGAGAGATGCTGAATTTTAAAAACTAGTAAATTTAGTCTAGACATAAGATAAACACCATTTAAGATTCTATAATAGATAATAAATTTAGATTCTGTAAGAGATTACCATATAGCTTAGCTCCTTCAACTGCTTGTTGCCGATAACCACCAACTCAAAAGGTGATCCCACCTAGAAAAAAATCTTAATTAATATATACATATTAAAGACAAGAGGGTCTAAATAGATTGTAATTATCAAGTGAATTGTAAACATTACCTTTATATTTTCATTTCTTGTTTTTACTTGGATGTATGTCTTACTAGGAGACTTAAACATACCACGAACTTCCATGCTACTTACACTATCAATAAAATAGGCCTATAACAGAGGAAAAAGGAGCTATTAATTTTCATCTTTAGCAGCACCTTGAGAAAAGATGCTAGCTGCTGAATAATTACTGAAAACCAAATTCACTTTTTTTCCATGCAGAAAGAATACATTCACCAGACATTAGATCTTCATTACTTTATAGCTTATACTATAAAGAAACTGCCACCACTCCTCTGTCCGTTTGTCGTACTTTGGTGGCTTGCATGTTGCTGTGATGCTGGAAGCTATGCAACTGGTATTTCAAATACCAGTAGAATCACCCATGGTGGACAGGTTTCAGTGGAGCTTCCAGACTAAGACAGACTAGGAAGAACAACTTGACAATCTACTTCCAAAAAAAATTGACCAGTGAAAACTTTATGAGTAACAGTGGAAAAATGTCTGAAAGATGAGCCCCCCAGGTTGGAAGGCACTCAGAAGACGACTGGGGAAGAGCTGTCTCCTCAAAGTAGAGTCAACCTTAATGACATGGATGGAGTCAAGTTTCTGGGACCTTCATTTGTTGATGTGGCATGACTCAAAATGAGAAGAAACAGCTGCAAACGTCCATTAATAACTGGAACATGGAATGCACCAAGTATGAATCTAGGAAAATTGGAAGTTGTCAAAAATGAAATAGAATGCACAAAGCTTGATATCCTAGGCATTAGTAAGCTGAAATGGACTGGTATTGGCCATTTTTAACAGACAGTCCTATGGTGTACTATGCCAGGAATGACAAATTGAAGAGGAATGGTATCACATTCATCGTCAAAAAGAACATTTCAAGATCTATCCTGAAGTACAGTGCTGTCAGTGATAGGATAATATCCATATGCCCACAAGGAAGACCAGTTAATAGAACTATTATTCAAATTTACACACCAACCGCTAATGTCAAAGATGAAGAAATTGAAGATTTTTACCAACTTCTGCAGATGGAAATTGATCAATCATGCAATCAAGATGCATTAATAATTACTGGTGATGGGAAGGCAAAAACAAATGAGAAGGATCAGTAGTTGGAAAACATGGCCTTGGAGATAGAAACAATGCCGAAGATCGCATGATAGAATTTTGCAAGACCAACAACCTCTTCATTGCAAATACCTTTTTTCAACAACATAAATGGTGAATATACACATAGACCTTGCCAGATGGAATACACAGGAATCAAATCGACTACATCTGTGGAAAGAAACAATGGAAAAGCTCAATATCATCAGTCAGAACAAGACCAGGAGCCGACTGTGGAGCAGACCATACATTGCCCATATGCAAGTTCAAGGTGAAGGTGAAGAAAATTAAAACAAGTTCATGAGAGCCAAAGTACAACCTTGAGTGTATCCCACCTGAATTCAGAGACCATCTCAAGAAGAGATCTGATGTGGATGGAAGATGGCACCATTCAAGATGGTGGCCTAGTCAGACACACCACGCCACCCCTCTACAGCAAAGACCCGAGAAAGAAGTGTAACAGATACAGATGACAATGACAACCCTGGATCCTTGAGCATCAAATGAAAGGATATAGAATTAGATCAAACACCGATTGGAAAAAGAAACTGAATAACAGCAGCAAATGGGGAGAAACAGGGAGTGGAAATACCCTGCCAGCTAGTCTGGCACAGCAGGGCCATTTAGAGACAAAGCCAGCAGCAACCCTGGGTGAGGAGGACAAGAAGACAATATCATGAACTCCCAATAGGAGAAAGAGAAACTATAAAGACATACCCAGAGTGAAGCAAGGTGAGCAGGACATGAACTGGAGCTAAGGAAGGAAAGTACAGGAGAGAGGAAAAGAGCTTCAGGGATCCTGGTGTACACAGAGCAGGGAAGAAATCATGACTTAGAGACAGGGCAACTCTCCAGCGGCACGACCTGACCTGTAGGGTAAGTGGTGAAAACAGAGCAATAGACAAGTCCCCACTCTTTTTCTTCTTTTTTTTTTTCTTTTTACTTTTCTCTCTCCTGCCCTGCCCCTCCCCTGCTGGAGAGAGCACCAGCGCAACACCTGGCCACCCACCCCATCCTCCCCCGCCAGAGAGATCACCTGCACTACTCCTGGCCAATCATCCCTCGACTCCACCACCAGAGAAAGCACCTGCATACCTCCCCAAACACATGCCTTGTCCCTCCCCGACCAAAGACAGCGCCTGCATGACCCCAGTCATCTGCCCCACCCTTTCCCTGCCAGAGAGAGCACCTGCGTGACTCATGGACAAATGCCAACCCCCTCCCCCAACAGAGACAGCACCTGCATGGCCCCTGGCTGCCCCATTGGAGACAAAGCCTATGCAACCCCCAGCCTCCTGCCCCACCCGTCCCCCACTGAAGACAGCACCTGTGTTGCCTCCCAGACGTCTGCCCAGCCCCTCCCTCCCCTGATGAAGACAGTGCCTGTGTGAGACCCAGCCACCTACCCTGACCCTCCCCAGTTGGAGAGAGTACCTGCACAACCCCCAGCAGGCTGCTCCACCCCTGTCCCACCAGAGAGAGCTCCTGTGTAACACCAGGCTGCCCACCCCACCTTGCCCCACCAGAGAGAGCATCCACTCTGATATATCAAAACAAAACAAAATCATAAATAAAATAACACCTTAATGCTTCAGAGACAGCAGACAATATCAAATAATATAAAGAAACAAGACAAGACGGCTCAATCAAGTGACCAAAATAAAGGAGTAGTAAACCTTCCTGAGGAAGAGGTGGTAATGGAATTGCCTGATAAGGAGTTCAAAAGGCTTATATATATAGTCCTCAAAGAGATCAAGGAAAACACAGACAAGACCCTAGAAGAACGCAGAAAAACAACCCAAAAACAAAATGACAAATTAAATAGACAATTAGAAATCATTCAAAAACAGCAACTAGAAATCCAGAAGATTAACAATAAAACATCAGAAATAGATAACTCAATCAAAGGACATGGAGGTAGAATTGAAACAATGGAAGAAAGAAATAGCAAAATAGATGATAAATCCCTGGATACCATATTGTTCAAGGAATACTCAGAAAAAAGAATGAAAAAATTAAGTAAGGCTAAGAGTTATACAGGACACTATGAAGAGGAATAATTTACATGTGATTGGAATCCCAGACAGGATAAGACAAAAAAAAAAAAGCACAGAGAGCAACAATGTTAATAACAATACACAGATACGTAAGCTGAACAGGGGTGGGAGGGCATATGGAAGTACACTCACATACATATATAAGTGTACATGCTGCCAACATATCTATGTATGCAATAGTGCACACAGGGGACACAGTCATGAAAACTTCTTAGCCATAATCATACACCTCTTGGGACTAAGATACTGGGCTTGAGGACTAGGGACCATAGCCTGGGGGAATATCTAGGTCAATTGGAATATCATAATCCATACAGACAATGTTCTACATCCTACCTTGGTGAGTAGCAAATGGGGTCTTAAAAGTTTGCAAGCAGCCATCTAAGATACAATTGGTCTCTTCCTGTTCAGAGCAAAGAAGAATGAAGAAAAACAAAGACTCAAGAAAATAATTAGTCCAAGGGACTAATGGATCACATGAACCCGGCCTCCACAAACCTGAGACCAGAAGAACTAGATGGTGCCCAGCTACCACTACCAACCACTCTGACCAGGACCAGAATAGTAGCTCATGGACAGAGTGGAGAGAAATGCAGAACAAAATTCAAACTCATAAATAAGATCAGACTTACTGGTCTGTAGAGACTGGTGGAACCTCCAAGACCATGGCCCTTAGACACCCTTCCAACTTGGAACTGAAATCACTCCCAGAGATATATTATAGCCGTACAACAAACAGGCCTATAAAATGAACAATAACACCAGTGAGGAACGTATATCTCCGAACAATCAACTATATGAGACCTAAAAGGTAGCATTTGCCCAAAAGCAAAGTTCAGAAGGAGAGGAGGGGCAAGAAAGCTGGGCAAATGGACACGGGGAACCCAGGGAGGAAGGGAGGAGAGTGCTGACAGATTCAGAGTTCGTGAAACAAGTTGCATGTAAATTGTTGAATGTGAAACTAATTTGCTCTGTAAACTTTTACCTAAACAACAATAAAATGTTCAAAAAAAAAAAAAAGAATAGATTTGATACACTGGACACTAATGACCAAAGACTAGACAAGTTGTGGAAGGACATCATACAAGAAGAAAGCAAAAGGTCATTAATAAGACAAGAAAGAAAGAAAACACCAAAATGGATGTCACAAAATACTGAAATTTGCTCTTGAATGTAGAGTAGCTAAAGCGAACAGAAAAAAATGATAAAGAAAAAAGCTGAATAGAATATTTAAAAGGGTGACTCGAGACGACAAAGTATTAAAATGAAACGTGCAAAGACCTGGAGTTAGAAATCAAAAGGGAAGAACACACTAAGCATTTCTCAAGCTGAAAGAACTGAAGAAAAAATTCAAGCCTCAAGTTGCAATACTGAAGGATTCTATGGGCAAAATATTGAATGATGCAGGAAGCATCAAAAGAAGGTGGAAGGAATACACAGAGTCACTATACTGAAAAGAGTTGGTTGATGTTCAACCATTTCAGGAGTTAGCATATGATCAAGAACCGATGGTACTGAAGGAAGAAGTCCAAGATGCACTGAAGGCACTGGTGAAAAACAAGGCTGTAGGATTGACAGAATACCAACTGAGATGTTTCAACAAATGGATGCAACACTGGAAGCGCTCACTCATCTATGCCAAGTAATTTGGAAAACAACTACCTGGCCAACCGACTGGAAAAGATCCATATTCGAGCCCATTCCAAAGAAAGGTGATCCCACAGAATGCATAAATTATTGGATAATATCATTAACATCACAGGCAGTAAAATTTTGCTGAAGATAATTCATAAACAGTTGCAGCAGTACATTGACCAGGAACTGCAAGAAATTCCAGCCGGATTCAAAAGAGGACGTAGTACAAGGGTTATTATTGCTGATGTCAAGTAGATCTCAGCTGAAAATAGAGAATACCAGAAAGTTGTTTTTATTAACTATGCAAAGGCATCCAAATGTGTGGATCATAACAAATTATGGATAATCCTGCAAAAAATGAGAATTCCAGAACACTTAATCATGCTCATGAGGCACCTGTACACAGACCAGGAAGCAGTCGTTCAAACAGAACAAGGGGATACTGTGTGTTTAAATATCAGTAAAGGCATGCGTCAGGGTTGTATCCTTTCACCATACTTATTCAATCTGTACGCTGAGCAAATAATCTGAGAAGCTGCACTATATGTAGGAGAACAGGGCATCAGGACTGGATGAAGACTCATTAACAACCTGTGAGATGCAGATAACATAACCTTGCTTGCTGAAAGCCAAGAGGACTTGAAGCACTTACTGATGAACATCAAAGTCTACAGCCTTCAGTATGGATTACATCTCAACATAAAGAAAATAAAAATCCCCACAACTGGATCAATAAGCAACATCATGTAAACCCAGAAAATACCGAAGCTGTCAATGATTTCATTTTACTTGGATGTACAATCAACGCCCATGGAAGCAGCAGTCAAGAAATCAAACAACATATTGCACTGGGCAAATCTGCTGCAAACGACCTCTTTAAAGTGTTAAAAAGCCAAGATCTCACTTTGAGAACTAAGGGGCGCCTGACCCAAGCCATGGTATTTTCAATTGTCTCATATGCATTCAAAAGCTGGACAATGAATAAGGAAGACTGAAGAAGAACTGATGTCTTTGAATTATGGTACTGGCAAAGAATATTGAATATACCGTGGACTGCTGGAAGAATGAACAAATCTGTCTTAGAAGAAGTACAGCCAGAATGCTCCTTAGAAGCAAGGATGGCGAGACTTCATCTCATGTAGTTTGGATATGTTATCAGAAGGGACTAGTCCCTGGAGAAGGATATCATGCTTGGTAGAGGGTCAGCAAAAAAGAGGAAGACCCTCAATGAGATGGACTGACACACTGGCTGCAACAATGGGCTCAAACATAGCAATGACTGTGAGGATGGTGCAGGACCAGGCAGTGTTTCGTTCTGTTCTGCATAGGGTCACTATGAGTCGGAACTGATTGAACGGCACCTAACAACAACAACATAAAGAAATCGATAGTTTTAAAACTTGGAAGAGGGTCTTTACCATCATAACCTAAGAGATACAAGCATAGTCCTCTCTTCTCTCAGAAATAAAGGTATATTATGAGAAAACACTGAGAGAATGAAATGAAAAAAGAATCCTTTCTTTTCTCCCTTTCCTTCTCTCCACAACACACAACTCAATTACAAGCAAGAAATCATATCATCCTACTTGATCCACGGTGGTCACACCTTCATAATACCCTCCTCTGCCAAGGCTCTGACCTGGGCAGGGATAAATAACAAAAAGAATGAAAGAAAGAAAACAGCCAGAATGGCTAGTGATTCTCAGACGGCCACTCTGGGAATGAATGAGAGCTTGGTAAAGGTGTATGAGTGCAAAAATATATATATCCCTCTTTTATTTCAGCTCCTGCCAAAATGAAATTCAAAATAACTAAAAATCAACCTAGAATGGGGCGTTGGGGAGCTTCTCCATTATATCTTCATATTCTGTATTTTCTCTGCTCTTCAAAATGAACTTAAAAGGAAGACTCGCTCAGTCTAACACTCAGCCACTGTCATTAAATTGCTTTTAACACTTTCCTCCATTTTTTAAATAGAAACGTGTCCACTTCCTGTGCACTTTGACCTCCAACAGTTTGCAGGCCCACCACAGATTACAATCATACTGGTATTTCTGCAGTAACATAATGATGGGAAACAGATGGTACCTTCAGTTGTAGCTCAATGGAATCATCCAGGACTGGAAACTCAATCTTAAAGATTCCATTTTGGGGGACAGTGAAATTCATGATATGGACAGCTCCCATTTCCTGGTTTCTACTATTCCATCTGTTCCTGTAGTCAGTATAGTTTCTTTGTGTCACTGTTATGACTACATTATTTCTTCTTTCTTCAAGAGTCAGCTGACTGCCATCAGAACGGGTTACCTTCACCTAATTGTCAAAATATGACATTTTAAATACAGTTAACAAGAGAAGCAATGGATTTAAGTTCAATTTGAATCTAGTTTCCACCTCTGCTATTCCCATGAAACTGAACACTCAAAAACATTTTTTTGTTGGAAACAACTTTTTAGGAAAATTAGACAAAGATCATTTGGAAACAATTCTAAATGCCTCATATATCTAAAAGGAAAAAGTAATCTATCTACTTTTTAGATGAACGATTTTAAAAAAGCATTGAAATACTATTTCCCATCGTATTTCACTATATTAAACTTACTGTTTTAGACCAGTAATAAACATACCAACTTACAGTGGCTGTGAAGTTGAGAGATGGCTTCAAGACAGTAGCATAATCAAAAAATTCAATGATATAATCATGTTGCTTGAAAAACACATTGGAGCTTGCATTTCTAGAGATACCTGTTTCGGAAATCGCACAATTTAGAAAGCAAAAGTATATTTCACCAACAGCTTCAATCCACTAATCTATCCATCTGAGCTACTTGCCAAAAGGGTTAAGATACCAGGGCACATAATCCTCATTCCCATATTATCGATCCCTGCTAAGCACCACTACTGTCATTCTCTCTTCAATGACATGTGCACCAGCAGATTTAAGCTGCTGAAGGAATAGCCTTTTGGTGAAAGCTGCTGAAATAGTAACAGAAAAGTCCAAGGAATTAACCTTAATTTTCTTATTAAAACAGAAAACTCTCCAGGAGGAGGTGTGGTTTCAGGAGATGTAAAGTGATAAAAGAAAAGATGGTTAGCCTACTGAAAATGAAGGCCTTTTCATGTAGTTTTCAGGCTGAAAAAAAGAGTAGAAATGGAAAAAAAAATTATAAATAGCTATAAAATGTCATTGAAGAACAGACTTCCATAGATAAGTTTCCCCTTCATTACGAAAACATCCTACAAGTTAGACTAAGAGTCATGACAATTTCAGCATTAAGTAACATCTTTGGAAGGGTAATGACTCCAAAACAAAGTACTAATCTAAAAAAGGTAACAGAGCAACACCACATAAATAGCTTTACCTTCACTTCAAAGTCTACCAACCTGTAAGTGATTCTGTCACTGTGGCTAAAATTTCTACTGGCCCAGGAGAAGAAACATCCATGTGTTCATAAAACCCATCTGAAAAATCCATTACCTTTTTCATCTCTTCTTCATTAAAAGAGAAGTCTGCAGATCCATTTATCTGTTTTATTAAAAAGTTCAAGTTTATTTCTCACTTTAGCAATTCAAATTTTAGAAATAAATAAAACTCAATCTAAGTCATAACAATTCGATGGCTTTTTGGTTCTATTTCAATTGCTATAAATGGGTGAATTCCCACTCGTACAATGCTGAAAAGCTCTTGATTTTCTTATGCTATCTTTTTTTTTTTAATAATTCGGTATAAAATCTTATTTCTAGAAAAAGTACACTAATAGTTTTTTCCTATTATATATTATAAAAATATTTAAAAGTTACCTTAAAATTTTTTGTAATGTTTTTCTTCACCCCCCAAAAGGATAAAGGTAAGAATGTAAGTGTTACATCTCCTTTTACTGGCTTCCCATATGTGTACCTGAAAAATAATGAACAAGGTTTCCTTGCATTTTCAACTTGATATTACCAAAATAACTCAATGAAAATATTACTTTCAGCAGTATATGCTGGCAATCCAACATAAAGGAATTATATCAAAAACATACCCCTCCTACAAATTTTCTAAAATAAACACATCCTGGAATATCCTTAATAAATGGTGGTCCTTGAAATTAAGACTTTAAAATGGGAAGAGGACTTTTAACTGCAATACCTCAAAACAGTTTGTAATGCTAACTTTGCCCAGCCTCTGAGCAGCTGAGATACCCCAGAGAAAGTCTGATCATAATTGGAAGTGACAGTCTCCTGTCCAAAGCTTTTTAAAAGACGTGAAAATCTTTTACTCCTAGAAATCTGGACTGGTCCATTAACTACACGCCCAGGAGACATCATAGCTTCTGCAGATTTTTAAATATTAACTGAAATTTAAGTCACCATGACCTACTGCAGCATGTTCCAACATTAGTCTGGGAAATTTATTAGACCATAGATTCAGAGGCACCAAATGTGATCACAGGTGTCAAAAATTGGTTAAATATATTAAAGTGATCAAGCAGGAAAACATTAAATAAGAATTTTTTTTTTTTTACCCATAGTACCAAAATTACCTTCTTGAGCCAAATCTCATTCTCTGCTGCTTTGCATTCTATGTATTAATTTTATCTCCATTTGTAGTTGGAAAGTCTCTTCATTATGAAGGACAGGCAATCTCTGGTAAACCATTTTACTGCCAGAAAGCCTTTTTAAATAAATGCATTTCCTGGGTTCCCTCCATCATATTGTGAAATGCTGAGCCAAATGATTAAGTCAGTTTTGCTTTGCACTTTATAAGCCATAATAGTGACCTTCTGTTTCCCGAATCCATTAATTGAACACAGAAACAGTCCCTCAACTGGATCAACTCAACTCAAAAAGCAATGACAAAATACACTTCAAATGTACCACCCTTCCAAAAGAAAACAAGGTTAACACAGTAAAATTAGTGGGAACCCTGGTTAGCAACTTCAGCATCAAAATCAGTCTTTCAAAAGATAGTCCTCAAAATCCAACAATGCTTGTATCTTGTTAAAGATTAAATAAAAGCATAACTAGAATACCAGAACATAGTATTTTTAAGTTATATCACATGATAGTACCAACCCATTCCTGTCGAGTCGACTCCGACTCATAGTGACCCTATAGGACAAGTAGACCTGCCTCCATAGGGTTTCCAAGGAGCGGCTGGCGGATTGAGACTGCTAACCTTTTGGTTAGCAGCCGAGAGCTCTTAAACACTACGCCACCGGGGCTCCCATGATTGTACAAGGAACTTTAAAATCTATTCATAATTTAAAGCATTCTTAGACACAAATATCTTAAATTTTGATTTAAATGTGAAGCAGATTTAGCTTTTCAAGTAACCAAGTTAATTATAATAATTGTCAAACATGGATACTGAAGGTTATTATCATAAATAGAATCTGGAAGCATTTGGGATAAACTATTCAGAAACTAATAGCTTGACATTTTAAAAAGCAAATCAAAGATACTCTTTGATAATATAATTACCAAAACAAGGAATTTTTTTTCTGAAAATATACGTAGCACAAAAGGTTTACAATACGCCTACTCTCAGGGCTAGATTAAGGCATGTGAGGGCCCTAAACACTGACAATCTGTGATGCCCACTCCTCTCCTTACTCATACATTTGAACAGGATGTGTGAGTTATATATACATGTATAGGTGTGCGAGTGTGTGTCTTAGCTATCCATTATATAACTCCTTTTTAAATGCAACTATAATATTAGTGACAGAACACAAAAGTGTGTCCTGTCTGCTTGGCACCTATGGGTCTTTGTTTAGGACAACTGGTGCGCCTGTTTTGTTGATGCCTTAAGCATGTGCTTACCTTTCTTATTGGGTAATCCATCCCTGCCTACTTTTCACTTATCACTATCTCGTTAGCCAAAACTTCGCATTTATGACAACCGTAAAAAATCTACTATCCGACAATTTGGGGCATTAATGAGGAGCCAAGGCGAGAGAGATAGGAGGAGCAGGAGAAGTTCGTGAAGAGTCAGCCCCATGGCCGCCAGCAGTTAGTATTACTCAGGTTGAGCGGAGGAGCCTCACGGCCTGCAGTGCAAATAGAGCAGGTGGGCAGTGCACATGGGAGGCGGCGGGGGCGGGGGGTGGAGGTGAGGCAGGCTGCATGGAGGTAGCAGGAGTCAGGCCGCAGTAGTTGGGTGGGGGACTTGGAAATCTCTTCTTCCAAAGAGGCCTCTCTCTGCCACCTCCGCTTCCTCCACCGGACCAAGGTGGCCGGGCCTCAACTGCCCACAGGCCCGGGAGCCACCTGCCGCCAAGGCGCATGTCCAGGACTGGAGAGCAGGAAGGTGGAGACCTAAGGCTCAGGGGTCTGCGGGGAGGCCTTGAGCACGGCCACGTGATGGTGGGCCCCCGTTGCTCTGGAGGCAGCAGGCAACCCACGACCATGACCACCACCACCCTCCGCGGGTGGTGGGGAAGGCGTGGTTGGGAAGGGGAGCCACCACGCCATGCACATTCTGAGGCATTCTGATGCACAGGGGACCCCAATGGGTGATGAGTGATGGGAGGGGCATCAGCACTAAAGACAGGCACAACCCCGACTCTTGCATAACACCAATTTTCACATAACAACCTGGTCTTTGGAACCTAACCATGTCGATAAGAAGTGAGTGTACCTAAAAAATGAACCTATCAGTGTAATTTCATGTTTCTCCCCACATTTTTTCCACATCATTTCCAGTGGCTCCCTTTATCAAATAATAAATACATTTTAATAAACCTTAGATTAAATAATATTTGAAAAATTCCACTGTTCCCAGGAGTTATAGAAGTAAACTAAATATATGTCATATTATTTTCTTTACAAGGCTCTAAAATCCACTGTGATTAGTGGGAAAGAGTCTGTTTTTTATTTTAGTGAGCACAGGAATACTGAGCAGATGTTCACATCGAAGTTAATAAACAAACACAGATTTTTATTCACCTCAGCTAAAGATTTCAAAATCAAAAAGAGCCTGTTAACCTTTTCTGGGAAATTTCTAGCAATGCTATGCACATTATAGCCTTGATGGGACAGATGGCTACCAGGAAACAAGTAACCTAGATTGTTTATCATGTACTCAGAGAGATGATTATAATAACTATTATTAAATAAATGTTTACAAAACTATCTCTGTAACTTAATAACAACCATGCAAGTAGTAAGGCAACAGAAATCACTTTTCGAAATACACCCAAGGAACAACTTAATTTCAGGCCTTCGCCTCTACCTACTGGTTTAGTGATGAAATAAAATCTATTGCCCATACGACTAATTTGGTTCACTCCAAATAGGCAAGCTTTTGACTGGATTTGAAGACTTTGCTGTACTACAGACAGCTTAAAACTAAATTTTTAGGGGTCACATTGTTTATTCATTTGTTCTTTCAGTAAGTATTTTTCAGATGCTTACTCCATGGCTGGAACCATATTAGGCACCAAGATGCAATAATAAACAAGACACAGACCTGCTTTCAAACAGGCAGACAAGCAAACAACAAAACTGTGTGACTAGTCTATGAGAGGTATAAGAATAGTAGTAGTCAAGTCTTAAAATTGCCTATGTAAAAGCCTACTAGTCAGAAAAAACATTTTCCATTCCTGAAAGCACAAGTAAAATTTGGGGATGGAGGTTGGGACGATAAAGAAGAGGTCGAGTGGGAGGTTTCAAAAGACATGAAATTAGAAAAGAAGAGACCCTTGTAAGATATACTAAAGAATTTGAACTTCACCCTCATGGAAGCGGGAGTCTTTGGAATTTTTTAAGCAAAAGAGTCATAAAATTAGATTTGTGTTTTAGAGAAAAAAAAAAAAAACCTCTGGATACAGTGTAGATAAAAGATTAGAAGGGGTAAAACTGGAATCAGGAAAACCATTTAAGAAACTACTAAAGAAGTCAAGAAGAGAAATGATGGTGGCCTGAATCAAGGAAGTGGCAATGGAGAAAAGCAGACAGATTTGAGAGATATTAAGGAGACAGAAGGTAGCACGGACGTTCATTAGAAGTGGGGATTGAGGGAGACGGAAGAGTGCAGTTGACTTGGACAGCTGAACAAGTAGTGATGCAGCCCACCAAGATAAGGACGCAAGAAAAATAATCAGGTTTGGGGGAAGATGATATGTTGTCTTTAAAGTACTTGTGGGACACCCAGTGGGAGATGTCTAGTGAGCAGCTAGATATGAGGGTCTGAATCTCAGGATAGAAATGTGGGCTGGAGATACAGATTTAGGTGTCATCATATTATAAATAGCAACAGAAACCCTGGCCATGGAGAAGAAAACTCTGAGTGTGTTAAGAAAGAAGAAAAAAGAGCCAAAGATGGAGCTCTGAGGAACAAGAACTTTTAAAAGATGGACAGAAGAGTTGCCTGCAAAGACTCAAAGGAGAAGCCAAAGGAAACAAAGGAAAATCAGAAAGGAAATGGGAGTGGACAACAGTTTCAAATGCCACAAATTTTTAAAAAAAGAAATTTGTAAAAGCCTAAATAAGAACCTGAAAGACTGAGCAAGAAGGAGGTCTTTGTGATCTTGTTGAAAGCAGTTTTAACAGCGGTGTGGTGAGAGTCAAAGGCACATTGTAGGTTGCTGAAGAATGAATGGAATGAGAAGTGGAAAATGCAACTCTAGTTCAGTTGAAATGAAGAGGCAAGAGATAGGACAGCAGCTGGAAGGAGCCATGGAGGTCAAGGGAGGGTTTGTTGCTTTTAATAATAGAAATGTGGACATGTTTAAACAGAGAATGAAGATGCCACTAAAGAACAAAGGGTCAAAGACACCAAATAGAAGAAATCAAGATATAGGCAAAAGAAGTGGGATTCTCCTGACAGGAGACAGTATCCAAGGCCCAAGTGGAGGAATTATCCTCTAACAGGAGGAAAGACATTGCTTCCATTATTACAGGCACAGGATGATGATGACCACTCTCCTGAAACTGTACTGGTAGGCCCCAAATTCATGACAGCTGGGGTAGAGGGGAAATGTTCACCCTTTCTTCACAGGCCTCTGGGAAAAAAAGCCTAGGCCATGTTGGTGGTGATTTCTCTAAATTCACACAGAAGATTCCTTCCTTTACCACAACTTAGGCAATTGAAACCTGAAGGGAGGAAATTTAATAGGAAGGAAATACTAAGAAAGGACTGTTAAATACTCAGAACTAGCCTGACCTGAGAACTTCAGATGGCAACGAGGAGGTTCACTATACACAACAAACAAACCAAACATACTGTGATAGTCTTCTTGGTATATCAACTTGGCTAGGCTAAAGTCCCCAGTTGCTGAATCAAACACTAATCTAGGTAGGGATGTGAGGTTATATCCAAGACCATCTGGGTGGGCCTGATTCAGTCAGTTGAAAGTCCTTAAAAGCAGAACTGAGACTTCTCTGAAGAAGAAATTCTGCCTGTGGAGAGCAGCTTCATCCTGTCCTTGTGTGTTCCAGCCTGCCCACCCTATGAATTTTAGACTTGTCTAGCCAGCTCCCACAATCACATAAGTCAATTCCTTGTAATAAATCTCTCTCTTAATATATATGTCCTACTAGTTCATCTTCTCTGGTTGAACCTTGACTGATACACATACTAAGGAAAATGATGAGAATACAGTATGGTGAAGACTAAAGAAATGCCAGGGGCCATCATAATTTTCATGTCATTCTCCACCATTAGTATCTCAGAGGCTCAACAAATGAAAATCAGGTTCAACTGCAAGACATCTTACATAAGGGTAGAAGGGGTACCCATAGTGTGTCTTCACAAGATCTACAACCCCCTAAAATTATATGCAAAATTTTCTGGAGAGAGGGTTCATAATTTTATCAGAGTCCCACATATGTAGCTTACCAAAGTTTAAGAAGTTTTAATTGATTGTGTGAAATCCCTGGCATACCCTTGAAAACCAAAACAGAACCAAAGAAGGTATCCAGACTCAATCCATGGGGATATCAATGGTTTGTGTGCATTTGCATTTGTACCCACTGAGTTTTGTAAGCATTAATCAAAGAATTCAAAATAAAACCTAGGCAGATGCTTAACCTTTGGCTAAGGTCAAGTACATTATACTAATTATATAAAATGCAGATATTTGTTTTTTAACCATAAATCCATTCACAGTACCTAAATTCATGTTGGAAGCGGCCTTAGTTGAACATGGGCAGACAGAAAACTAACTTGGTACATGTTTTTGCCTTTTTGTTGCATAGATTTTGCAAGATTTTATGCCAGAGTCTAAAACAGGAGTCCTCAAGATGTTTTAGTCTGTGCACGGCTTCTGCTGGGAGACACACTGCTGCCCGTTGCTGTCACTGCCACAAAACCTCACCAGGGGTGGAAGAATGGTGATGAGACAGCTGTAAGATGAAGTCTAGTTTTTACTAACTATTAAAAATGAATTATGAAAATATTGCAGAAACCAAAGCACAGATATTGTCACATCAAAAATAAAAGCTGCAAGAGACGCATCCGTGAATTACATGAGGACAACCCTAGACCGTACTTTTGAAAATTACTAATATAAAACTCTGATGATGCTTCTTGTAGCAAAACAAATGCTATGCTCTGTGAAATGGATAAAAGGAGATTATTTACTCATCTGTTAATTGCAATAAGACAACCAAATCTCTCCCCCAACATCTCAAGCTCCATTATTGACAGGAAAAAAATATATGATTTAAGAAGAGGTAAGTGACCTCAACTCCGTGTCAGTTGGCTTAAGAATAAATAAAGATACAACTTTTTGTTGTTGTTGTTAATGGCACAACTATAGTGTAAATCCTTGATTAGTCTTGGAACGACACTAGTCCATGGCAAAGATTTTAGGACTGAGCAAGTTTGTAAGCAGAGAGATGAATGCAAAAACCAGTAGAGATCTACTCCATGCTTAATTATTTATTATAGATATTTCTTTATTGCCTACTAGGGCATTTTTGTAAGCAAAACATTGTGCTAATATTTTAGAGTAGATAGTGAGTTATTTGTCATACAATCTGATAACAATTTATAGTCACATAAAAAGAAAAATAATACTTACTTAGCCAAGATGGTACCATTTAAACTCTTAGAATTCAAAGAACAGTATAATGGTGTCTGCAAAGTAACTTCAAATTTTGGTAATACTAGAAAAGAAAAGCAAGGACAAACCTTTTAAATAATTTATTTTACTACTTGTTCAAGTTTGTTTACTTGTTCAAGTTAACAGAACAGAGAATAGAGTTGTACTGAAGCAGTAGAAAATTGGTGCTATTTAAACTTAGATTCTTAATGCTACAAATACATACTAACACCTAGATAAAAGTCCTTTGTTTCAGCCCAAAATTAGAACCTCTACTTTGGTCAGATTTATATAATTAGAATATGAAACATTTTATAAATATTACTACTACTCGACGTAAAGCACTCTAGAGTAAAAATTTTTGTCTTTTTCCAGTCTATAAAATTTTTTTTCTCTAACTTCACTGACCAAAGAAATAAATCATCAAACTCTCATAACAAGACATTTTACCATTAAATCAACACAAAAGAAGTATCAAGAAGGCCAATGGGTCAACAATATAGGACAGACCTCCAGCTCCAAATGATGCTGAAGGTCTTTAGTGTTCCAGGAGACTACTGGACTCTAGACCAATCTAGGACAGGAGGGCCATAAAAATCACATGCGTCAACTATGACCCTTTTCCAAGGTCATCCACCAGCAGAGGAGTTAGGGCCACTCAGAGGTAGACAGTCAATATGAGGAAATTCAAATGCTTATTGTAGGTTGGTACTCAATTCCCCACCCACACTACCACTGTATGAAATGAAAATATCTTGTAAAAATATTGGCCCTCTCTGATCTATTCTTCTAGATCAACACTGTCCAAAGGAAATGTAATGTGAGTCACATAAGTAATTTTAACTTTTCTAGAAGCCATGTCTAAAAAGGAAAAAGAAGCAGTGAAATTAATTTTTGTAACATTTTATTTAATTTCATAAAGTGGTTACCCAAAACTCATTTCTGTCGAGTTGATTCCAACTCATAGCAACCTGATAGGACACAGTAAAACTGCCCCATACAATTTCCAAGGCTGTAAGTCTTTAGGAAGCATAGTGCCACATCTTTCTCCTGCAGAGCAACTGGTGGGTTCAAATTGCCAACCTTTCAGTTAGCGGTCAAAGCACTTAACCACTGCACCACCAGGGCTCTACAAGTGGTTAAGCCAAATCAAACTTATTGCCATCGAGTCAATTCTAACTCATAGTGACCTTATAGGACAGAGTAGAACTGCCTCATAGGGTTTCCAAGGAGTGGCTGGTGATTTCAAAATGCCAACTTTTCAGTTAGCAGCCAAGCTCTTAACCACTGCACCACCAGGGTTCCCTATAAGTGGTGGTGGTTGTTGTGTGCCAAGCCAATTCCAACTCATAGTGACCCAACAGGACAGAGTAGAACTGCTCCATAGGGTTTCCAAGGGGCGGATGGTGGATTTGAGCTGTCGACCTTTTGATTAGCAGCCTGAGCTCTTAACCACTTCGTCACCAGGGCTCCAAAAAAATATGGAACATTTCACGAATTTGCGTGTCATCCTTGGGCAGTGGCAATACTAATCTTCTCTGTATGATTCCAATTTTAGTATATGTGCTGCCAAAGCAAGCACTACAAGTGGTTCCAAAAAAAAACCTGTTGCTGATGAGTTGATCCCGACTCATAGCGACCCTACAGGACAGAGTAGAACTGTCCCATAGGGTTTCCAAGGAGCACCCGGTGGATTCGAACTGCCAACGTTTTGGTTACCAGCCGTAGCTCTTAACCACTACACCACCAGAGTTTCCAAAACCAAACCCATTGCCATGGAGTCGATTCATAGAAGTGGTTAGTGGCCCACAATTTCAGATTGCGGGGGTCAGCAAACTATGGCCTGCATAAGCTAAGAATGTTTTTTACATTTTTAAATGGTTGAAAGTAAGTCAAAAGAAGAATATTTCATGGCATGTTAAAGTTATATAAAATTCAAATTTTAATGTCCATAAATACAATTTTATTAGATTACAGCCACTCATTCATTTACATATTATCTATGGCTGCTTTCATGCTACAATGGCAGAGTTAAGTAGTTATGACAGAGAGATATGGCCCTCAAAGCCTAAAATATTTACTATCTGGCCCATTATAGAAAAAACTTTG